AGCTGGACTTACGATCAAGGTACTACCAAGTACGTATTGCCAAAGGGGACGAGCCCAAGACAACGTGTGTAACAAGATACGTGACTTTTGAGTTACTGGTAATGCTCTCTGGCTTGACAAATGCCTAGCTACGTTTTGCACGTTAATGAACCAGGTTTTCCACGAATACTTGGATCAGTTCATCGTAGTATACCTCGATGACATAGTTGTAGCGCAACCTAGAGGAACACAAGATGCACCTGAAGCTAGTGCTTGACAAACTGTGGCAAAATGTGTTATATGTCAAGAATGAAAAATGTGCCTTCGACAAAACATGCATCAACTTCTTTGGACATGTCATCAGTTGTGGATAGATCGGTATGGATAGCGACAAGATAAAAGCTATCTAAGAGTGGAAAACTCCTACTTTCGTATCCGATGTATGATCCTTCCTGGGATTGGCGAACTATTATAGGTAGTTCGTCAACGAATTTTCACGATGAGCCGCTTTATTAACAAAACTTTTGAAGAAAGACCACCCTTGGTCGGGGTTAAATGAATGTCAAATGGCCTTCGAAGATCTGAAGGCAACCATGACGAGGGGTCCTATCCTCAGATTGGTGGATTTTTTCAAACCATTTGAAATAGAGACAGATGCTTTCGACTTTTCCCTAGGCAGTGTCCTTATCCAAGAAGGCCACCCCATCGCTTATGAAAATCGAAAGCTCAATGATGTAGAAAGGAGGTACACTGTCTTTGAAAAAGAAATGTTAGTTGTGGTCCATTGCCTACGAGTCTGGAGATAGTACCTCTTGGGATCACAATTCTTAGTGAAGACGGATAACAACGCCATTTGCCACTTCTTTGATCAACCGAAGTTGACGGAAAAACTGTTGGAATAAACTTAAATGCTGAAGGTCAATTTTTGTTTTAAATAAACTTAATGTCAACTTTAATTTGTTATGTTAGGAAAACTAATTTGGAAAAGCGAGTTGGAGGAAAAAGGTCGAGAGTTCTTTTAGGGAATGATGGTAGTGTTGTTTTTCGACCATCGGCAAGGGAAATCCTTTTCACAATTGGTGTAAGAGAAAATGGTTTGACGGGAAGAGAGAGGAAAGTTGTTGAGAGAAAATAAAAACGAGTAAAAATAAGAGAGAGAGAATTGCAATTTGACTTTGCTCAAAAAGAGGTGATGTTTTTTCTTCTAAACAGATTCACCTATTTAAATAAATTAAATCCTAAAAATGGTCTGAGAGTGGCCAACTAAATCAGTGTCATTTCCTTTCAAATGGTCACTTAAAAAGTTGGTAATTCATTCGACGTGTTTGTCAAATAGTAAAAGGAAGATATTCAATCAACTAATTAAAACGTGTAAAGCTAAATAAGGAAACCTCAAGCTTTTATCTAACAATCTCCTCCTAAAACTTGTGGTATATCTACCTTATTATTTGAACTCCGATCGTTGAACGAAGTTCCTCAAATTTTACCCGTGCTAGAGACTTGGTGAAGATGTCTCCAAGCTGTTTCTCTGTTCGAATGAAGTCAATCTTGATAAGCTCCCGATCTGTACACTCCTGGATGTAATGAAATTTGATCTCTATGTGCTTGCTTCGGTCGTGCAAAATCGAATTTTTGATCAGGGAGATCATAGTTTTGTTGTCCACATAAAGCATTGGTGGATCACCTTCCTTTCCGATGAATTCCTCCATTAGTCACGCAAGCCAAACCCCCTGCGTTGCTGCCATCGAAGCGGCGATGTACTCTGCTTCGCAAGATGATAAAACAACTACCTTTTGCTTAGTTGATTGCCAACAGATCGCGCTGCCTGAGAGGAAGTAAATCATCCCGCTGGTGCTCTTACAATCATCAATGTCATCGGCCATGTCACTATCATTGTAGCCGACCAGCTGAAGCTTCTCCTTTCCTCTCCTTGCGCAGTATCTTACACCCCAGCCTCTGGTTCTGGCTACATAAAGCAGGATGTGCTTGACAGCCACTAGATGCTCCTCCCTAGGTGCTTCCATAAACCTATTCACGTATTCAACGGAATAAACAAGATCAGGGCGAGTGTTTACCAGATAGCGCAGACTCCCAACAATGCTGCGGTAATTGGTGGAGTCGACTGCCGTCGTAGTGCCGGCCTTCCTCAGTTGGAGTCGGGCCTCCATTGGCGTCCTTGTAGGGTTACTGGATGCTAGCCCAACAATATCCAACAGCTTCTTTGCGTACGCACTTTGACAGATGGTGATGCCAGTAGTACTCTATTGCACTTCGATGCCGAGGTAGTAGCTGGTACACCGAGATCGCTCATCTTGAAGTTCTTTGACATCTCCCTCTTGAATTTTCCAAGGACTTCTATGTCGCCTCCAGTGATTATGAAGTCGTCGACGTACACTCCCACAATCAGTCGCTGCTCGCTGTGGCCGTACGTGTACATGCCATGCTTAGAGGCACATCGCTTGAACTTCAGTGATAGTAGGGTATTGTCGAGCTTCGCGTTCCAGGCTCATGGTGCTTGCCGAAGCCCGTAGAGTGCCTTGTGCAGGCACAGTACCTTACCGGAGTTGTCGTTGTCCAAGAAGCCAGGTGGTTGTCGGACGTTGATGATTTCCTTCAACTCTCCGTTAAGGAAAGCAGACTTCACGTCCATGTGGTGGACCTCCCAAGAGAAATGTGCTGCGATTGCCAGCAAAAGGCGGACGGATTCTAACCTTGCCACCGGTGCAAATACCTCTTCGAAGTCCACACCTTGCTTCTGGACGTAGGCCTTCGCCACTAGACGGGCCTTGTGCTTCACAACTTCTCCCTTTTCGTTGCCCTTCAGTTTGAAGATCCATTTAAGCCCTATGGCTCGGTGTCCCGGTGACATATTCTCCAGACTCCACGTCTGGTTCTCGGTGATGGATGTCATCTCCTCCTGTATTTCCTTCAGCCAGCACGGGTTCCTTTCTGCTTCGGTGAAGGTGTTCGGTTCATCTGCGCTGATGGCATGCAGTTCGACCACCTCTTGTTCGAGTTTGCGCGACGTCAGTATAGGTGGTTCACCTCCTCCCACTAGGTCTTCTATCCTCCGGTACCTGGCCACCAGATCATCATCGTGATCGGCATTCAGCGTCGAATCCGTAGTCCGTAGTGTTGTGAACTCCACTAGTTCAAGGGGTGCAGCTGCTAGCGGCGGTGATGGTTCCTGATGCTGGGCTCCTCCTTCTTGCTGCTCGGTGATGAGGTACTCCACTGTGAATTGATTTGGATTGTGGTCTGCCTCGATCACGTTGTTCCACTGCCAGAAGGTGCTTTCGTCGAAGATGACGTCGCGAGACACATGAGCTCGCCCCCCTGCAGGATCATAGAGTCTGTACGCCTTGCTCCCGGGTTGGTAGCCGATGAAGATGACTTTCAACCCCTTGGGATCGAGCTTTGCGAGGTGGAGACGCGCTACCTTCATGTATGCAACATAGTCGAACACTCGCAGATGGTGTACCACTGGCTTCTTGTTGTACCAGGCCTCGTGTGGCGTCTTTCCGTCGAGGCTTCGTGTTAGCGAACGATTGAGGAGGTAGACTGCCGTCATTACTGCCTCTCCCCAGAATCTCCAGGCATCCCGGTCGTCATCAGCAAAGACCTTGTTGTCCCGACGATGGTCTGATTTCGGCGCTCCACCACTCCGTTTTGTTGGGAGGAGTAGGGCGCCGTTGTATGCTGAACTCGTCATAGTACTTACCGAAACTTGTTGGGGTGATTTTAGCCATTGCAATTTGACTTCGCTTAAAAAGGGGTGATGTTTTTCTTCTAAACAGATTCACCTATTTAAATAATTAACTTATCCTAAAAATGGCCCGAGAGTGGCCAATTAAATCGGTGCAATTTCCTTTCAAAATGGCCACCTAAAATGTTGGTAATCCATTCGAGGTGTTTGTCAAATGGTCAAAGGAAGATATTCAATTAACTGATTAAAACGTGTAAACCTAAATAAGGAAATCTCAGGCTTTTATGTAACATGGAGGGTTTATGAGAGTTTATCTCACCCTATTATTAGTAATAGAAGAGGTATAAATATCTAATTCCTTATCTGTAAAATCGCATCAAAAGAGCACAATAAAAAAGAAAAACAAGGAGTACAGTGTAATAGAAAAAAGTTTTTTTTTGCATTATTCTTTGTCTCCTTGTCTCTTCCCTCTCGACATCTCCTTCACAAGTAAGCGAGCAGTACTTTCACAAAGCGGTATCAGAGCGTTCGATTGTTAGTGTATGTGAGAGTTACTTCACAGATTCGTGAGTATTATTTTAACAAATTGGTATCAGAGCCAATGGCGAACATGATGGGTCAAATGCCGCTACCGTCATTAACAAAGACGAACTATGAGAATTGGAGCATCCCAATGAAAGCTCTCCTCGGTTCTCAAGATGCATGGGAGGTGGTTGAAGAAGGTTTCGAAGAACCATAGGATATCACGGGTTATACGGCGGTGCAGAACAAGGTGTTAAATGAATTGCGATCAAAGGATAAGGCGGCATTATACATGTTGTTCCGGGCTGTTGACGAGTCGGGCTTTGAGAAGGTTGCCAAGCAACTACTTCAAAAGAAGCGTGGGACACTTTAGAAAAGGTGTTCAAAGGAAACGACCGAGTCAAGCAAGTGCGTCTCCAAACTCTTCGTAGCGAGTTGGAGAGCATGAAGATGAAGGAGTCAAAAAATGTATCTGACTACATTACATGCGTACAGACCGTGACAAATCAACTAAATCGAACCGGAGAAATGTTACCCGAGACGCAGGTTGTGAAGAAGATCTTAAGGTTGTTAACCAACAACTTCAAGAATGTTGTATGTGCGATAGAAGAGTCAAAAGACCTAGCGACGTTCACGGTCGATGAGCTCATCGGTTTTCTCGAGGCACACGAGCAACGTAAGAAGAAGAAGAAGGAGACATTCGATCAAGCACTTCAAACCAAAGCTTCAATAAAGGATGAAAAGATACTCTACTCTCAAAATATTCAAGGTAGAGGTCGAGAAAGTCGTAGAAATGGTCGAGGTGGTCAAGACAGTAGAAATGAAGAAAAGTATAAGGAGAAGAGACAGTCAAGCCAAGCAAATTGACGTAGAAGAGGACGCAATCAAGGATGCGGTTTAGGATATTATTCCAACATCCAATGTTATAAATGTAAAAAATATGGCCACTATGCGAATAATTGTAACTCCGACAAATGTTACAATTGTGGCAGAATGGGTCATTAGCAAGAGATTGTCGAGCCGAAGAAAAGGTGGAAGAAACGATTAATCTAGCCTTGGATGACGCAACAAACGAAGACATTCTCTTGATGGCTCAAAATAAAGAGTTGAAAACAAAAGAACACGGCGGCGCGAAAGACGATGGCGATAGTCGTGAGGTGGTGGAAATTGTTGGGAATGACATATGTAGCGGATTTGGTGAAATCTTGATAGCAGAGACGAGAAAATCGAAGAAGGATGAACCACCGGATAATAGAGAGCCTGGGCTTGAAGAGAGAGAGCTCCAATGGCGGGAAAGGCAATATGAGGAAGGAAAAAGAAAGAGGATAAGAGTGGAAGAGAAAATGGAAGAAGAAAAGAAAAATTTAGAAATGAAGATAGAAAGGTTTTAGAGAAGGAAGTGAGTGTTCTTTCTATCTCAAACAAGAGAAGGAAGAGAATGGGAAGGTAATCAACTTGTGAAGAAAATTGAAGAAAGTGTGGAGAAAGAGAAGGACTTGTTAATGTAGATTGATGCTCTAGTGGACGAGCTAGTGAGGGAAGAGAAAGATATAGAGATGCTAACTCAACAGAGAGACTCACTCGACACATGATTGAGATAATCACGAGTGATAAAAAGCTGGAGGAAGCAAAAATGAAAGTTGAAAATTTCGTTATGGACTTGCGAAGGGAATTGAGTAAACTAAAAGAAGCTATGACGTCTGAGTCGAACGTGGCTGAGAATGAGAGAAATGAGGAGTTGGTGTCTCAAATGGGTTGTTCTCGAGAAGCTCCAAATGAAGTCTAGTTAGAAAAGGACAAGCTTAGTTTGCTACTCGAGGACAAGGAGAGGAAATTGAAGAAACCACGACTGAGCTCAAGAAAACAAAAACGGCTCTGGTGGAATCGTTGAATATAGCATTTAAGTTTACGGGGGTTGTTTTGTTGGAATAAACTTAAACGATGAAAAGTAGTTTTTATTTTTAGTTAAGTTTGGATTCATTTTGGTGGCTTTTAAAATGTAGTGAAAAGGCCAAAGCCTTAAAAAATGAAATGACAAGATTTATTTTAGGAAATAGTGGATTTTTTGGGTTAGTAAATGAGTGCCATTGTGATAGGCATATTTAGTATTTAGAAAGCTTATAAATACGTTTGTTTTTCCATTGTAAAGAGCAAGAGCAAAAGGAAATACAGAGTTGAAAAGTAAAGTAAAATAGAAAAAGGTTTTTTTTTTCTTCAGTATTCTTTGTCTTCTTGTCTCTCCCCTCTCAACATCTCCTTCACAAGTATGCAAGTAGTACTTTAGCAAAGCGGTATCGGAGCGTTCGATTGTTAGTGAGTGTGAGATTACTTCTCAGATTCGTGAGTGTTATTTTTAACAAAAACAAGCTCGATGACAAGAGTCGTTGGCTGAATTCGACTTCAAATTTAAACACAAGACAGGAAAGAGTAACCAAGCTGCCGCTGCGCTGAGTCGGAAGGGCAAACATGCGGACCTGTGCATGTTAACCCGCATTCACTTAAGTAAGATCGATGCGCGACATCTTCAAAGAACATTAACAAAGAGACCCGTCGGCCAAAGCCGACATTGAACTAGCCAAAGCTTGGAAGACACGATAGTTTTGGGTCAAGAGAGGCCTTTTAATGACAAACGGAAATAAATTATACGGCCCAAGAACAGGAGAACTATGGAAGAAGCTCATTCAAGAATGCCATGATACTTTATGGGTCGGACGCCTTGGGTGCAATGAACTTATGTCTTAATCAAAAAGAGTATTTCTGGCCAAATATGCGAGACGACATAATGCAGTACACCAAGACGTGCCTCATCTGCCAACAGGACAAAGTCGAGAAAGCCAAAGTCTCGGGACTCTTAGAACCTCTACCATGCCAACAAGGCTTTAGGAAAGTGTGTCTCTGGACTTCATAACACACCTCCCAAAAGTCGGTGAGTATGTCACCATCTTAGTTATCATAGACCGATTCTCGTAGTACACGATGTTCGTTCCCACCCCCAAATTATGCTCGGGCAAACTAACAGCCCAACTATTTTTCAAACACATTGTGAAGTTATGGGGCATTCCGTCGAGCATCATCAACGATAGGGATGGTAAATTCATTGACATATTCTGGACTGAGTTATTCACCTTCTTGGGAACGACTTTAAACATCTCCTTGAGCTACCATCCCTAAACCGATGGACAGACAGAACAGTTCAACTGCTTGCTCGAAGAATACTTACGTCACTTCGTCGACGCTCGTTAGAAGAACTGAGTACAACTGCTAGATGTCGCTCAATTCTGTTTGAATTGTCAAACGAGTTCGTCTATGGGAAAGAGCCCCTTCGAAATTGTAAGTGGACGACAACTGGCCTTGCCCCATATTATTAATCATCCTTATGCAGGAAAGAACCCTCAAGCTCAAAACTTCACCAAAGAATGGAAGCAGAAAACAAATATAGCACGTGCGTATTTGGAGAAAGCTTCTAAGCACATAAAGAAGTGGGTAAAAAAGAAGCGTCGCCCCCTCCAATTTCGAGCAGGAGACCAAGTCCTCATCAAGTTGAGGCCAGAACAGATTAGATTCCGCAGTCGAAAGGACCAGAGACTAGTTTGAAAATATAAAGGCCCGGTTGAAGTCCTAAAAAAGATTGGGGCTACTTCTTATAGAGTTGCGCTACCCGCGTGGATGAAAATCCATCTAGTACTTCATGTGAGCAACTTGAAGCCTTATCACTCCGATCCAGACGATGATCAGCGAAATGTAATCACAAGATTGAGCATCGATCTGAAACAAAGAGACACCAAAGAAGTAGAGGAGATCCTAGCCGACATGGTTAGAAAGATAGGAAGGCCTATACGGAGGATTCGCGAATTCCTTGTCAAATGGAAGAATCTCCGTACGGAAGAAACCAGCTAGAAACGCGCCGAAGATCTAGACTCCGCCGCCACCCACATCGCCAGGTTTGAAAATAGTCGGTCGACAGAGACGTCAACCAATTAGGTAAGGGAGGATGTCACAGTCATGCTCATCCAAGGCGTGTTACCCATGGTCGCATGCCCACGACAAGCCAAACCCTTTATGTCTTTCCATGTTGTAGTGTTTTACTTTTGTATTTCTAAGGAGCATGGGGTTTCAGAAAAATCATGTCTAGGTCTGCCAGACATGAAAGGCCTCAAAATGTACTATAGGGGATATAACTATTTGTCAACAACCCTACCCAATAATTACATGCAGTAAGCCGTTGTTGTTGCCTTTTTTTTACATTCCCATATAACACCAATTTCAATTTCTCAAATCTTGCTTTCAAAATCTCTTTTGAAATCTCTCTGCCCCCGTTTTCTAAAACTTTTTTTTTGAACCGGGGCTAAAGCTTGAGCATATGTCGCTTGGCCGTAGGCGACGCAAGAACGAATAGACTTAACTCACTTGTTGCTGGGAAGTGAGTGCCGTGTTAGATAAAACCAGAGTTTTTTCTTATTTAGATTCACACGATTACATTAATTATCTGTTTGACCATTTGACAAACAGGTCGAATGGATTAACCGGCAATTTTGTAGGAAGTGGCACAGATTTAGTGACCACTCTCCAGCCATTTTTAGGATAGGTTATATTTAAATAGGAAATCTGTTCACAATATTTTTACAACCTGAATTAAAGGGCAGTCAAAATTTCATCATTCTCTCTCTTCCTTATTTTAAGCATTTTATTTTTCTTTCCAACAACCGACAATTTCCTCTCACCGAAAATAATATTTTACGCATTTTATTTTTCTTCCAACAACCTCTTGTCGACAATTTTCTCTCACCGAAAAGAAAGGATTTCCCGACCTGAATTCCAATAAGTGGTATCAGAGCCCCGTTGAAGCCATCAGTCTATATCATTGCAAAGGAGCCAATCTATTAACAATCAAGTTGAATAGCTCAAGTGGTTAGAGCGTCGACCTAACAATATATAGGTCTCAGGTTCAAGTAGAAGAAAATGCAAAGTGTGTAAATAAACACATCGTGGGGTCCTTTCCGAGCAGGCTCGCTCACTCCTCCACGACGCCGTGATGACCGTCGGGAGGCTCCGTGTAAATGATGATTGATTGATATCTATACATATGGATCTTATATATATCGCCCAATGAAGTTCCACATGAGTGGATATATATAGGAAGGAAGGAATCCAAATCCACCGAATCACTGATCTTATGATCTTCTACATTACCTGGATCTTCCTTACCTGACGTCGAACCCCGACAACAAACCATATGACTGGGGCCAAGTCTGCGTTCTCCGAGCTTGACTCGGGGATTCGCGGGACGGTGAAATTTTAGGATAGGTTATATTTAAATAGGAAATCTGTTCACAATATTTTTACAACCTGAATTAAAGGCGCATTTTATTTTTCTTCCAACAACCTCTTGTCGACAATTTCCTTTCACCGAAAAGAAAGGATTTCTCGGCCGATTATTGAATTCCAACATGCCGCACAATCGCAAGTCCGCTGCCATCAAAGTGCGATTGTGACACTGTGGAGGTCTACTAGGTTTTTAAAACGTCTATGTGATTTAACCTCATCTCACATTTCCAAGACACTCGGTACTAGCACCTCGAGGTTAGTCCAATTTCTGTGAGCACTAAGGTCTAGACTTCTGATCGTCGGCGACAATCCTATGGTGTTTGATATACTGTAAAAATTTATTGATCCAAGTAAATGTAAAACCTCTCTAGCACTAGTGCTCTAATCTTAAGTTGGCTCTCTCACCAAGATTGGTTAGGGAGATAATTATCTCAATCACCTAAAGCCCAAAATTCATAATCTAAACATTTCTGAAACTAGGTTCTTAAGGATGTCTAGGCGACTTAAGACATGGACTTTTGACTCCAGGGTACTCTTTACAAACTTCTCGAAGTCTTCTTAGTCTGAGAGTACTAAGGTCTAGACTAGTAGATTGCCACTCATATTCCTAAAGTGCTTGGTGTGCTAGAGGCGTCCTGTCCTGGGTAATCATTTAGTCGACATATCTCTAGTGCACACTTAACTCAATACAGATATCTACATTCTATAGTCACTCGGAGCTATCATACAATTTCATGCATTCATATAAACTCAATAAAGAGATAACATCATTAGTCACTCGAAACGCTGCTCACAATATATGAACCTTCTTTCTAGCACAAAAGAAAAAGCATGCTAACTCAAAATCTTATCTTAGGGGCTATTTGAATTTTTTCTGAAATAGGCATCTTATTCACAACTTAGTATGATATTTTAATGCCCTAATCATGCATTGTAACCACGTAAGATTGGATAAAATAGAATGCATGATCGATCTAGTGATCCTTACAAGTATTTCTCAAGGGAATCTAATAATTACTTGGATGATGCGTGTCCGCCCCTTCTAAGCTAGATTTTTAGTATATTAGGAGGTCCAAAATTTCTCAAATTTCTCTAATAGGCCATAATTCAAGTTGAATTAAGGTTAGTATCAAAACTAGAGCGAAAAACTGACAAATGAAGGCCGAACCGACCAAAAAATTGCACCTCACATGTGCTTGAAGGGGCAATTCGTAGGACTTCACGCACAAGTAGTTAGGCGCGTCTGAAAGGAGTACATTCATTCATTACGTAAAACATGGCACACATAGATAGGAGCAACTACATCGATATGGGTTGGGAATTTAGTTCAGGTCACGCAGAGTGGGTTGGATCTACGATTCGTGTCCCTGTTAGGTGCCAGCCACGTTGCTTCACTTTGTGTGCGACACATGTCTACCGTTCATCCTAACACACTTATAGCCCCATTCCATAACACATGTCCCCGTTAGGTGCCAGCCACAATGTCACGATTATGCTTGTCCAAAGCGTGTTACCCATGGCTGCATGCCTGTTACATGCCGAAACCCTTGCCTTGTACTACTTTATCGCTTTCTTTTACTGATGTTGTATTATCTCCTTCTTGTTTTTTCTAAGAGTATGACGTTTCGTCGAAATCATGGCTACGCCTGGTAGACATGAAATGACTCAAAATGTACTATAGGGGGATGCGACTAGTTGTCAAATTCTCCCTACCCGAAAAGTTATATACTGTTTAAGCCGTTGTTGTTGACTTTTGCTTGCATGCTATATAACATCACTCTCAATCTCTCTCTCATTCTTGTTTTTAAACCTCTTTCCAAAGCCTCTCTACTCCGTTTTCTAAAATCTTCTTTTCAAATCAGGGCCCGAGACATGAGTATATGTTGCTCAACCATAGGCAACGCGACCCGAAGTTGACTTGATTCACTCAGTGCTGAGAGTGACTGCCACACAATTGCCAAATCCGCTAACAAGAAAAGGCGATTGTGGCACACCGCATGCTTAAATATACACCTGAACATATGCACTATCTAGCAATATTTTGGGGCCCTCTAGCCCCTCCTAACACAGAGCTTATTGCTGTTCAGACTTTATCAAGCAATCAGGTATACTTTTCTATTATAAATGAGATATCATGTCTTCACTAACATCTTTGATTACAAATGGTGAGCAGTTCAAATTTCTTTGTTCTCTTTTGAGTTATTGTTTAAACTTTAGAGACCATTGGTAGGTATGAAAAGGGGAATAAAAATAAAAGTCACAATCAAAATAACAAGAAAGAGATATTGTAAATAGTTTTATATTGAGACTACAGTTGCCATTGATTTAACCTCATGAATGCATTTGGAAGATACCTTTTTTTTTCCTGACAGTTTTTAGCATAACGTGCACAGTCGATAAATGTTATGAATTATTCTCTGTTTGTTGGGGTCGATACCGAGAAAGAATTTGTATGTGGGATAATCGATTATCTTAGACAATACACCTAGGACAAGCAATTAGAGACATGGGTAAAATCCTCCATCGTCTCGAAAAATGTCCATTAAAAAAGTTCATGTCCTAGATCATCGATGCCTGAAGCAAAACTTCCTCTAACTTTGGGAGCTCTGTGGTGTACCACATATCATGAAGGTAAAGAGCTCGATTTTGGTTTAGTGTCAAATATACATATCGATACAGGAAAAATGTGGATCGTAGAAGGAAAAGGTCTGTCTTCATCTCATGGCTGCATCATTACACTTGCAAATTCATATTCACTTTGTTCAATCGTTCAAATTCTTGAAGCGGATTTATTGTAATTTTTGCGAGAAAATTTGTAGTATTTTTCGTGTGATCAACTTGAGAGGCATAAGAAAGGGCCATGAAGAATGAAAGTTGCAAGGACATCGTCTTCCTCCATCCTTCAGAAAACCTATAATTCACCTTCCAATGAAATTAGATAAAAGTTCTTTCATCAACTGTAAAGATTATACAAAATTTTCATCAACTACAAAGATCACCTAATAACAAACTCTAAGAATACATGTAAAAACTCATCCGAATATATTTGAAGAACCTATTGGGTGAATCTCCATAATATATATAATATTATCCCAAACCTCATCCACTTCTAATTTTCTTTCTCATTTTATCTTCTTTTCTATACCTCTCTCGCCGTTCTTCTCTTTGCCGCTTTTTAGACAGCTGCTCGTTTTTGGCATTCTCCGCTTCAAGCTCTTTTCTTTTCTTCTCTTCTTTAAGCTTTCGTTTCTTCATCTATAAGGACAAATTTGAGATAGAAAATATGGATTAGAAGTTATCTCATTATATTCTAAGAGAAGGAAAATAAAAAAAATGCATACTTTCTCATGTCTCATAAGTTGAAGCTGCTGAACAAGTGCATGAACTTTCCGTTCACGAGGCTCCATCACCACAGCTCTTCGCTTTTCAAGAAGTGGCCTCTGTTGACTAGGTTTATCCTTCGGTTTTGATTTGAATGGCAAGGCTGCTTGTAATGATTTGGGAATCACCAATGGATTGAACTTCCGTTTCTGCCTTTCGATTGGCTTGTACACTGAATCCTTGTTCACAGGAATGGGAAGATTATGTTCTTTCCTGAGTTCAGCCACAGTTTTCATCCCTTGCCATATTCGACCACGAGGTTGCAATGCTGTAGTCAGCGGGTTGTAGAATTGAGGAATTTCAACTTTAGTCCATGCACGCAAGAAAACTACATCACTCATCCGAATCTTGTCCTCGAAGGTACATCTAGCAATCCCTTCCTTCGGGACTCCCCCTCTCTTCTTGGGCTGGTTACCAATCTCCTCTTTCGCAGCCTGCAGATAGATAGCATTGGTTGAAACTAGGAATTAAATATCCATTGATGTATAGATATCATTATTCCAGGCGTCCAACATAGCCTGGAGTGAGAATCAATACTTTTACAATACTGTAAAAGTTATCAACGACGAGAAAGAAAAAGTAATCAAATGATATCCTAACATCCCTGCAAATACTTGACCCTACGTCTAGCTACACATATTGACCATCTACAGATTTACAATGGCAAATTACATAGAAGAACTGGTAAGGGTCATTCAGTTACAAAATCTATAAATTGATAAATAAATCTTCTATTTGTTCTTTTATTGCTTTCATTACACATTTCCTGGAAACACCCCCGAGAAAAAAGATTTATCAAAATCCTCGTCCCATGTTTGATGGTTTCATACTTTCGCAGCTAGTGTAGTCCAAATCGACCATTGGCCAGCAATATTTATTCAAGCCACATTAAAGATCTTACACAACAAACTGCTCCTATTGCCATGTTTATTTGGTTAACAGATCAGCAAGCAAGCAAGCAGCCAGGCTTAAGTTTCATTCCTCAGTAAATAACTTTTATATATCATTTTTTGTTTATCTAGAAACTAAGCTTTCATTGGAAAAAAATGATGGAAAATACAAGGTAGATCACGGTTCTATATATCATGAAAAGTCATCATAAGAACCAATAATTCACACTGTATAAACAGAAGCCAGATCACGGTTCAGCAGTTGCACATTAGCAAGCAGACTATAAGAGAATATATAATTGGAAAAAATATGGGGGTCAGGACAAGTACGAGTGAGGTACATAAGAATTTCCTGTAGTAAGCATTACAACAAAACGAAAAAGAAAAAGAAGAAACTCTCTATGGGAGAGTAGGAAAAGTAGCATGCAAAATGTTCTCTCTATTTCAAACAGACATACCTTTTTGACCTGGCCTCGAATTCCACTGACAGTTCGAACAGATGCACCTTCAAAACGAGCTATTTCAAGATCTGAAGTAAACATATCTTTTATAAGTGCTGTCTTCTTAAAAATTTTGCATGGATAACCAACTAGCTTGATTTTCTTGACCACCCGCTCTTCATGATTGGATTGGAGCACAGTAGCTGTTGCACATATTCTGAACGATGCCTGAGAAGCCATACAAAAGGTCTATAAAAAGCTAGAAAAGGCCAACAAAAGATGGCAATAAAAACTTCAAAGTAAAGCTGGCACCAAATATTTAATCTATAATGCAAACAGCTGAAATGGCACAAGACAAACCTTATGCTTATGGGGAAAAAAAAATTAATCAAATGTTCGTGTCATACAAGAATATGTACATAAAAGATGAATTAAAATGCAGTGATTCGTGAAGACTCCAGAGGATAAGGCATTCTCAAATGAAGAAGAAAATAAATTCACAAAAAAGAGCCTCATCTAGAATACAAATAGCAAAAGATAGCTATGAACACTTGGCATTCATTCTTGCCGTCTTTCGCTTTTATGCCAAGTTGAACACTTCAGATGGTATCTAAATTGAACACTTCGGACATTCCAACCAGAGAACTATTCCTGCACTCTCTCATTTCTTATAAGAAACTAGACCTTAATTTTCAAAAAGGAATACAAAGGGTGGAGACAAGGAGTCACCACCAAACCAAGAGGATTACAAAAGAATTTCCAGTATACCTGATTGCTCGATAAAGTCTGAACAGCAATAAGCCCTGTGTTAGGAGGGGCTAGAGGGCCCCAAAATATTGCTAGACAGTGCATATGTTCAGGTGTATATTTAAGCATGCGGTGCCTCCCATTTGAATCTTCAATTGCATAAACAGGGGTACTTTGGAAACGTCTCCATCCAACCGAAAAAATTAATGGATCTCTAGTCTTCAGTACCTTCTTATGCCACCTATGTCGTTTTAATCTGACCTGCAAACATATTATTAACATATTATTGCAAGATAACTGGGTGAAAGAACACACTTTGAATAACTTTTCCAAAAAGAAATAAAGCTTTAATCAAGGAATGAAGGACATCGATAAAGTGATTGGACAAGAGCTTCAATCTCAATATATCTCCTTATATCAGGTTCATGACCCCTTCTGGGGTTAGAGTCTTATGGTTTAATTACATTATCGGAAACTTCGTAAGGTGAGATACATGCAATCGACAACTTCTCAGCATGACACAAGAAAAAAAATACAAAATAATCAAGTTAATAAAAAAAAAAAAAGATCTATTAAAATATTACCTGCATGTATCCAACGTCATCCTCCCCCGGCCCAATTCCTCCAACCAAAATTGGCTGGCAAGGATCAAAATGCTCCACCATCTCACAAGGAACACCATGAACTTCCAATCTTACGTATGTCCCTGATTGGAAGCCCTCAATCCCCAACCGGAAGGCTTCATCAATATTATCAAGTTCAGCTTTATTCCTTTGTTTCCTAATTTCAATTTCCTCCTTCATCTGAAACAATCAAGCATGAAGCAGTGCTCAGGGTCATGCAAAAACTACCAACCTTTTAAAAAAGAGGGAGAAGGTTTACCTTGTCATGATAATCATCACCTTCATTAGCTTCACTGTGGTTTAACTTTCCCTCACCTTCTATATCACTTCCATCCTCCGGTGCCTTAGATCCAGCATATGTAGGTCAGAGTTAAGTCTAACAAATTCTTAAAAAAGAGAATTAAGATAAATAAAAGCTGGTGGAAAAAACAAGTATAATCAAGATCATCAAAAGGATATTCAGCATCGAACTGTGCCCGAAGGGCAAGCTTTTTCAGCCTGCGCTCCTCAATTGTTGAATACTCTGCCTTTTGGACCATGGCATCGTTAGTTTTATCAGCACTCTCATACTTCTCACCAGTTTCTAGATCTTCAAAATCAGCATACACATCATCTTCTTCAACTTCGTCCTGAGAAGATTTATTTCTGAGAGCAGCTTTTGACCAATCACCAGTGACAAAGCGGTCACGAATGCTCTCCACATTATTATCGTTGAAAAAGTTCGTAAATTTAGAATAATCCTCAGAACTAGCATTTGCACCATCCACTGCTTTACTTTCATTCTGCCATTAACAATATATTAAAACGTTAAAAAGTGACCACTATCCGCACAATCGGAAAACCAACAATCAAAAACATGAAATCTAAAAAAAGGGAATATATTTTTTAAAAATACTAGCAAAGAGTAAACCTTATTTCCCTCGCCTTTAGGCCTAAAAAAGTGGTCCTCGTCACTTTCTTCATCATCATCACCTTCATCCCTTGAGGTTGTAGATGTTTGTGTGGATTTCCCATACACAAGTTTCATGAGATTCACGTGTTGCCTAGAGATGGTCCTTTCTAACAAAGACTCCTTCCACTTTGAGGAGTTACCCATGCCTCTATCTTACAAATAGAGTAATGAGGTGGTCAAATTATCACTGGAACAAAAAAATAAAAGCATTTGCATACAACAGATTTACAAGGAAAATACCATTTTCCTCGTCATTATCATCCTCATCTTCATTTTCATTTTCATCATCTTCTGACAACATTTTTTGACCGTCAACATCACTGTCATTGTCATCTTCTTCTTCATCTGAATCCTACAGAGATATAAAAGAAAATATAAGGGCACTAACAACGTTCTTTTTTGGCACTTTGCCTGCAAAGTTGACATAAATTGGATTGTGCATACAAAATATAAATGAACAGCCGCATCATTTCCAAAATTAAGTCAGTCACATTACCATGAGATCATCAGAGTCAACATCATTTCCAAAAACAGCTTTTCTCCTAAGCCTCCCTTCATGAAATTCAACATGTTCCTTCATGTGGTCTTCAACAGGGGATTTCTGATTTAACAAATCATTATGCTCTTCTTCATCAGTGCCCTCACTTTCAAATTTAGCCTTTTTCGGGGTAAGGTCATCTTGATCTGAAGACTCCGAATCATCGGTATCATGTATTACACTAGGTCTATCAAGTTCCACCAACCCAGGTTGACATTGCTCTCCCGGCTCAATACTATGGATCCCATTTAAGTTGTCAGGTTTTCTGCCAAATAGAGAAATGAAGCTCTTCTCTAACTTTTCATCAACTGAATATTTTGTGTTCTGGAGAGACTTCACCAGAACTTCACCCACGTCTTGAACTTTACCTGATTATAGCATAAGAGATACTTCAAAATAAGTGACGGATGACTGCTAATATGCAGAGATTGTGGTATTAAAATTAAAATGAGTAGTAATAAAATATTCAAACCAAATTGATGACTATTCATCGTTTTCAACATGCTTCTTTAAATTTACTAAATCTTCTATTTTCCCATGACAACTATCAAGGCAGTAAAATAATGGAAGCCAATTACCTTTGGTTGAAGGAACTTCTTTATCATCATCAACTTGGGAATACTGAACGAAATGGTCGTTAATATTTATATAAACAGCATCCTTATCGTACAAAAGATCCCCAAGCCCAGACATAGGAGCATAAAACAATTTTTCCTTATCACGTAGTCCTTTCTTCTTGGCAGCAGATGGCAAAGGACAAGGATCAGCCAAACTGGTTACATTAGCCAAATTAAAATCACCCACGCCAGAGATGTGAACCTGATTTATGCATTGAAAATAAGGAAATGTAAAAACAGTGTTGTAAACAATAACATAAACAGATAATAAATCCTACAGAAAGGCAAAAGCATCAACCAGAGAAGTGGTACCTTAGTTTCCTTCCTCAAATTACAACCTCGAAGATAACCATATAGTGTGATATTTCTATCACATTTATTATTCATATGAACTCGTTCAGGTGGAGTGACATCTTCAAATCGATCAGATAAAACATATGGATGGTTGGTACGCCAAGACAGTGGCTGAAACTTCATCACAGAGATAAACCGAGCAAGATTGTGTACTTCACGTTTAGTGTACCTGTCGATGAGAGAAAATTGATTATATAAAATCACATATCAACCTATCGCAAACATTAAATGATGAAATGTAACAAAAATGAATGTTTGAAGATAGGAGTGAAGAAGATCCTTACTTTCCATGAATAAGCCCAGATAGATAAAATAATTTAGCTCCTGTACGTATCTCAGTCCAAAAGCGATGTTTAAGATGCTGCTTTGTTTTCCTCAACTTTTTTGCATCCTTGAACTTATCAAGGTGAGTGAGAACTCCCATAACTTTTGGAAGTCCGTGATTATGCAAAATGTTGAGGAACTCAAAAGTCTCCTGTGATGTAGGTAAGATATTTAAATGAACATAACAAATTTCATTATAATCTTCAAATAAGTGGAATCATGGTATCTCACCATCTCAAAACCGTAACTACCATCAATTAGAAGCAAAGTCAAATCAGCGAACTTCGCTGCGTCAATCATCCCATTGATATCATTTGGGCACTCGACAAACTGCAACCGCCTTTGTTTACCTGAAAAACACACACATTGAGAATACAAATCCCCAAATAAAATAGCCAAAACACTGAAAGAATGTGTTTGTGTATGAAACAAGAATGAAAATTAAGTTATAATCGGCAATAGAGTGAACCTGACACAATTGTAATCGGCCCACGAACATCAGGTAGATTATGTTTGGTATAATGCTTAACAAGAGACTTTATTAGAAGAGATTTTCCAACCTACAGTAAGTAACAACAATTAAAAGAAGAAGAATTAAAAGAGATGCAAGTGATAAAAATATAGAAAGTAATAAATTCAGACCTGGGGAGGTCCCTGTACAACAATAACATAGGGAGCTGGTTCACCATAACAACGATCGATTGTGGGAACATGAAGCCTACGTTGTTCTTTCTCGACAGAACGAGATTGCAGGCGCTTAGCTTTAACTGATGAATTAAAAGCAAAAGCCTAGAAAAGAAAAACAAGAGTTTAAGTTCAAATTTAGTCGGAGGCATGGATTGATTACAATACAACAAACAATTAAACTACCTTCGGATTGTGCTTCCTGTCATTCTCAGAAACCTCCCCCTTCTTCTTGTGCTCTGCTTTCTTCTTTGCATTGGGACCAGATTGGCGAGACCTGTGAGCCTTGTGAGATTGATCATCGCCACTTGCATTCACGGCCATATGAATATCTGACAAAAAAACCTTGAACAAATTCTAGAGATGGGTTTAAGGACAAGGAGGCCGGCGGGTTGGAGAACTAAGACGGGCGGAGGGAGATGAGAAAGGGTTTAGGAGAAGAGGGAATTTCAAAGCCACGCACCAATATCTCCTCATTTGTATCTTTTAATTTCATAATTTTAAATTTTTATTTTACTAATTTTTTTTATTTTAACGAACGGGTTGGGTTTTCTATATTAACAGTTTTTTTAATCTTTATTATTTAAATTAGATGCTTTAATTTAATAATATTGAAATTTTAGAATACTATACTTTTTGTTTTTCTTTTGCTTTTTTATAACTTTTATTATTTAAATTATACGTCCTTTTTTTTTTAATTTTTTCTTTTTAACTTATTAAATTTATATTATTTAAATAAAGTGTTTCAATTTAATTATTTTTATTAGGTTTCCGTAGTATTTTAAATTAAAGAAAGTGACTAATTTTTTCTTTAGTTCTTTTTTAATATTTTATTATCTCAATAATCAAAATTTTAATCTAATGATATTCGAAATTATACAGGTGGCGGAGTTTTTTATTTAGATTTCTTTTAAAAATGGGAACTTGATGAGTTATCTGCTTACACGTCTTGTCTTTACTGCTATATCGAGAGTTACTGCACGTATTGGTTGACATAAAACCGATAGTGGATTTGTTTCTGTATTTTGTTGAATCTTTTTCATGGCTCGATAGATAATTTGATAAGCCAATGATTTATTTTTTTTTTCGTATTTCAAAATAGGGTTAACCAACCTGTTAACTAATCGATTACGATAAATTGGATCGGATTTTGCAATTTATTCTTCTGCAGTACTTCAACGTGACATGAGTTTGAAAGGGGTTCAAAAATCAGTTTTTATTTTATAAGGGCTAAAATCTTTTATTTTGACTAAATTGGGATGGCTTAATTTTTTTTTTCTTCTAATTTGTGTTATTTAAACTATACGTTAATAATCTTTAAAATTTTAATTTATTAGGATTTCCTCCTTTCTTTTACTTTAAGTTTTTTCATTCGGCTTTTCTTTTTTAGTTGTATCATTTAAATGATTGTGTTTTTAGTTACAATCTTGAGAATTTAAATTTATTAGTGTTTGTGTAACGATGCAATTTCTTCGTTGCCACTACATGCATGTTATCCTCATCGGTACATAGGTTTCTTATACTTTATGCTAATTTTTACTAAATAAAAAATACCAAAATTGTAAAAGTTTACTACGGGAGCTTGAGTGGTATTTTTTGTTCCTTGTCATATTCATTTAAATGATCCCATCGGGCTATCCACTTCCACTTCCACTCCATACACAATACATAATACTAGTCCTAGTCATAAAAAAACTCCTCTTAGAAGACCTAAGGTCACACAGTTGGTGAATAAAATGAACCTTATCATAATACATATTTCTAATATTTGAACAATGATTCAGAATTTAGATTTGAACCATCGTGTCTCGACATTTTCCTGCATCCACTACGACATATTTTGGTTCTGACATCCTACAAGAAATATGGGTAGGTTATCCCACGTACATCTAAGATGACTCAGGCCATGAAGTGAGTTTGAATAGAGTAGTACCTAGTGTCACAAACCATTCTATGAAAAGAGTAGGTAGTGACCCTCATGCGCAGACAGACAAGGTGGTGACACAGAAGGGGTTCCAATCAGCTCATGTGAGGGTCGAGATAAGACAAGTTCCATGATGTGATCGAAGAGAACATACCATCCAACACACCATGAAAAGTGTGCATTGAAGCCAAGCTAAGACATAAGCAAGATAGAGGCAAATGGTTGACATGAGTGTCAAATATAGACTTGAAAAAGACCCGAGTATGGCCTTGATCCTCAACCTTGGAGGTCAAAGTTCCAGTAGAGTTTGGACATGTGGCTTTGGATTTAAGTTTGTATACGTAAAATATAAATGCTAACCAAATTTAGTTTCAATTGGATACCTAACAAACGCTTCACGAGACCATATGGTTTTTCACCAAAATCATGTCTACTCTTGCTTGACAAAAAAATGCTTCAAAATGTACTATAGGGGGAGACATGCTGTTAGTTCTCCACCACCCCTATGTCTTGAGCGACTTTCTTTGAAATGAGTTTATCAAGGACAATGTTAGACGACGTGGGTGTGCTAACATTGTGCCCCCATCCTTAAATAAGTTAGTATAAACACATGCTATTGGTACGGAATCCTTAAATAACTTAGCATGGACATGTGATGATTCATGCATCGATAGAATCTGGATGGATGGATGTTTGGGATGCCCATTGATAAGAACGACATATGAGTCTATTTTTTATAGACATGTCCGAGCAAGATACGATAGTTGATGACATCTTAGGACTTGAGATGACATTATGATATAAAAGGCATGTCATTGGTAACCAAGGTGACAAGATGTGATACAACGACACATATGAATGACAATGACCTAGAGTAGGAACAAGGTCGTGCCGGATGATTTGGCCTAGTATAGAGGCAAGTTGGTTAGGGTCATAGATGATTGAACATGCACGCATGGGCGGCGTTTATGACTAAACAAGCTAAGATTCCACATGAGGGATGTTCGACTAGCAAAGGAGAACCTCGTCTAAGGTCCAACGAAGCCATAAAACGGGACAAAAAATGTGAATAAGACTCGAGTTTCCCTTAAGACTTGTCATGAGTGTGTTAAGATCATGACGGCGCACGGTTGAAAATGTACGATTGTGACACCTAGTAGTATGAGTATCATGATACTCGTAAACCTTGAGTTGTACAAAAGTTATGAGAACCAACCTACTTGACTTCACTCATGATCCTAGAGAGACATTTTAGGTTATAAGTTCATGGGTTCTAGCTCCAAGGGTCCATCATAACACTTAAGTCACAACCTATCATAAAATTCATAAGCCCTTAACATGTCAACATATCATAACTCCAGCATACCCATTGTAGGGACACTTTGGTCTTTTTACCTACTGATTTAAGCCCTAAACATGTTCCTATGTCCATAAAACTTTGCATAAATCCTTATTATATGATATTAGATCGTACATTAAAATTCATTTAGTGAGTAAATTTTAAAATTTATGATTCTCAAGTAAAACGTCCGATTTAAGTGCTTAACACATAGCTCTTGGCCTATCTTTTCCATTTTGCTTAGTTATTTGTCATCTCAAGGTTATGGTTTAATTCTAAGCAATGTCTACGAGTAAATCTTAAGTAAAAATCAAATTGGCTACTTATTTGCTCAGTTATATTCGAGACCTTAGTTTTTGCATTCCAGATGTCCAAAACTCACCCAATTTTCTTGTATTGGACGTGTAGTGAGTCAATTTTGAGGAACCAAAGATAATTAAGTAAGAACTAGTATAGAAGAGGGTTAAAAACTATACATAACTATAGAGAGTCGGTTTGGGTGACATGACTGATTCAATTGAGCTACCCACACCATCATCTTCAACCTCAATATGAGAGAGGATGCAGAAAACTAACCTTGAGATGACATCTTAAATTGGTAACGAGTGGAACCTATTAAGAAAACTAACATCTTAAATTGACACAGCCGGTGTAGAGTTAAAGCCACCACTTGAATGTTAGGAACTATGACTATGATTTTGTTTCTGGTTCCTCCAAAAAGTCTCAGCTAAGGTAGATAGTATTCCTTACTCATAATAAACCTACGATCTTCTCCTTAATTAGCTAATGTGGGACTCATCTCCCAACCATTTTCAAACATTGAAGACCAGTAAATGATGCAGTCTTTACAACTATGAATAGAACCATTATCTAATTAAGTCGAGGTCGACTAGTGATGTAACGACTCTAAATTTCTAAATACTCAGAGTCGCTACTAACATCTCATAGTAATTTCTAATGCGGAAATATCTCTTAAAAGAAAACATAATCTTTAATATAAATGTCGAAAATATTTAAAACATCATATTTTCTAAAAAGCACAGTCATAGTCTTACGTGTTTAAATATGAAACATTGAAATTTAAAGAAATTAAAAACAAATACAAAATAATTTAAATCGATGAAATGCAAAACATTATAGTCTAACCTAAGATTAGGAATTTAAATATGAATCTATCATATGCACGTGCCATAGTCTTTGCTTGTGATGTCGCCGTCCTCAGTACATGTGCATCTTACCTTTACCTAAAAAATTATGTGGCATGCGGCCTGAGTATTTCAAAGAATACTCAGTAATTGGCCCCATTATAGGGGGCCATGCAAATGCAAGCACATGCAATCATGCTTTTGAGACCTATTTCTAGCTCATCTAGGGGTAGCTTCCATTCTCGGACAAATTGGATATGTAGTACTTCCCTACACACGATCCACACGTGCGAGTGTGAATCCCCAAGGCGCTCGTACACCCCCTGGACCCTCTAGTCAAGCTAATTTGTAGTGACGTCTGGAGGTCAATGAAACCCCATAGTGTCATGTACCTCATGAGCACCCTACTCGACATATTGTGCGCATTCACACTTATCATCATACTGTGCGCGTCCGCAGTATCATCTCTAGAGAAAGTAGCCCTATGCTTATAAACATACAACATGCATGAGGTCCCTCTAAATCCCATCATAACGTCTCTTCTGACACAACCCTCTAGTCTCATCTCTTTGTTACTTTAGGTAACACATGCTCGTAGATATTTATATTAATATCATTTTCATGCTCTTAGGGGTGTGATCTAGGTCGATCTAATGACATAATGCAATATGACAATCATCATCATATAGCATGCTCAATATGGAAAACATCATCATATTAAAGAAAACGACCTACAACATCATACTCATCAATAAGCCATCAATTACATCAAACATAATATGTATGTCAGGCATCAAAACATAAATCACGTACATATAACATGCATCATAGTTCAAGCATCATACTCATATATCGTCATAAACATCATACTCATACATTGTCATAAACATCATACATCATCATGCTCGTAAATAAGACGGTAATGCAAACAATTTTAGTCTATCCTATGGTAAGACCACTTACTTGATTGCCTTAGCCAAAGTACTCCCTAATTAGCTAAACGTAAACTTCCGTTCCTTGAAAGCTGCTCTAAAGGTTGTCGGGGTTC